AGAGTTTGCAGGAAAAGCCTTTCTGTCTGTGCATTTGCTCAGACAATGGGAAGGCTATATCCCCAAAGTTTTGCTTTTCACAGCTTATTTCATTGGATTTGGAAATGAAATCAAGGGCTTTCACTTCATCCTACATCTCAGACGTGCACTCAGATTGCAATCCTTTTTTTCTGTCACTAATACATTTTGCCTAGCTGAGCTCTGGAGAATTAAAGCAAGAGCTGATTACGTCATTTGTTCTCAGCTAGAGGTGTATAAGCTGCTGGCTACACCGGAGTCGAACAGCATGTGTCCCGCTCGTCTTTGGCAGAACTGCCCTGCGGAACTGCCCCCACAGAGCAGCAGCCATCCGGGCTGACATCTGAGCATCCCAGATCTGGGAACGAGGACCCTGGGGATCAGGCATTTTCTAAATGGGCGGGCTTTGACTTTATGGGAAAAATATATATATCTGAAGGAGAAAAAGGCTACTGGCTTATCAATCAACGTGGCAGGGGAGATGTTTGCAATTCTTGTTCTCACAAGAATAGGCCCAATCCTGATGGCAAATGGTGAAAAGGAATAAATCACAGCTGTGACAGGAAAGCTGCCTGGCTGTTGGGAGAGCTTGTTTCAAATACTCATGACCAAAGCCTTCCTCGGCACTTCGGATGATGGAGTCGGGAGGTCCCCAACATCAGCCAAGGCACTCATAGAGGACTTTCCCTCCACGGGAGGCAATGTGCACTGCCACTCACTATTATGTCTCCTCCTCGGACAAACTGGAGACGGATCTGAAAGACGACAATGTCCAGGAGGTAGATGAGGTCACAGAGATAGTCCACGAGCAGCCAGTAGTGGATGTTTGCTTCTGGTAGGAAAAGGCCCAGCGGACAGGAATCAGCCAGCAGTTCCAGTTCCAGGCCAGAACAACGAAGAACAGCCACAGCACGTACATCAGGTCTACGCACAGGGAAACACAGGCCAAAATTAGCTCGCAACACTTCCTGAAGTCATTTGAATCCATCATACATGGAATTTTTCATCTCCTGTCCTGCTCTAAGTACAATGATGTCTCCTACAAAACCTGCAGAAGATTTCAGATTTCTCTTCTCTACAGTATTTAACTGCAAGTGCCAAGCAGGGTCCAGCAGAAGGATGGAAGAGTGGGACTCTAAATGCAAAGTTAAAGCTATTTGTTACAGAGCACACTGCTTTTTATCAGGAATCCCCTTCCAATGTTGTTGGTTCAACAGGGTTCACTTTAGCTTTGCTCCCACAACACTAACTTAGTCTCTTTCCTTTTTTCCCTTTGAGACTATCCTGAGCTAAGAGCTGGCTGCCTGAGACTGGTGATTTGAAATGACCAGAAAACAGAAAAGGTTAAGGAAGGAGCTGGGTTCCTGTGGGATTTGCGTGGTACAGGGACAGTGTTTGCCCACTGAAAAGGACTGAAAAGCAGAAACACACTGGCCCTTCACTGCCTGATAATGCTCCTGACAGTCACAGCCATCAGGGAATATTTAGAAAAGCCTATAGATTATAATGGGATATATAACCCTGATTTTTTTGCAGTCATATATAAGTATAAATTTCTTAGCTTTCTTCCTATCTCCATCTTCCCATCTACCCTTTTTTTTGTACTTCCTCGCCTGCTGCCCTTCCATTTCCCTCTCTCCTTCCACCACCAGGTTTCTCACGACCGTGGCAGGCAGAGTCACTCTCCGTCACTCACTGGTTAGTGGGTCTATGCTGCTTGGGAACTGGTAGTTTCTCACACGGTCCAGCCAGGGCCGACACTTGAATGTGCAGCACAGCATCTCGCAGTAATGCTCATCCTCTGCCACCTTGGCTGCCTCTGGCTCCTTTCCCGGGGGAGGCGGTGGTGCTTCCGCAGGGGCTTGCTTGGAAGGGGCTAGGAGAATTCACATAATTATTTTCTACAGAAGAAAACCCTCTTACGGTAATTTGTTTTAAGAGCTTTAAACCATTAATAAAATAGCTGTCTTCTTGAAAATGCAGTGTGCGTGGGGACCCATGAATTAAATGGTGGCTGTGAAAACATGGGGCTTTCACAATCTCGTGCTTGTGAAGCTCCCCCCTGCTTGAAGATTCCAAAGCACTGGCTGTAAAACTGGCACTATATTTAGCTTCACAGCCTTCCTCCTGAGCCGGGAAAGTATAATGACCCTATGGACTCTTAAAGCACAAACCAAGTCACCAGAGTTGTCCAGGAGGGACAAGAAAGCTCCTGATTTCCAGCCTAGGGCCTCGGCCCATGTGCCCGTAGGAGGAAGACTTGGAGTCCTTTTTTTCAAAACATGAGAAACTTCAGTAAAAGCATCAGTCATGTCCCTGGAGAGCTTATGTTGTACATGCTCACTGCTCTGATTCACCCAGAGCTCCCAAATCATATTTTATACACAAGTAAGGCAACCTGTTTCTCTTCCTGCATCCCCGAGGGTTTTCTAGGAAGACAGCGAAGCCGCTAAGTTTCCAGCTGATAGAACCAAAAAACAATTTCTGTTGCTTGAACTTCTCCAAGCCGCAAACACTATCTGCGAACTTACGTTTTCTCGACCTCAGCAGCTTCTAGTTTTTCCCCCCCCCCCAAAAAAAACGTTATCGGTTTCAACCTCCCAATCCAACTTCAACTCACATGCCACAGGGGTCTCATCGTCAGATGTGACATCAGGGTCTGTTAGCTTTTCTTTCACCTTTTCAGTCCTCTCTTTAAAGAGCTTCACCAGCTCCTGGAGTCGGTCGTTGATGACTGCGCTGTTCTGGCTTGTGGCTGAACCAATGCGTTCAGGCAGGCTGTGAAGAGACCATCAGACATTTCACTTGTGTAGGAAAGCCCAAGAGTAGGTTCATGACCTATTTTTTAACCTATAGGAGCCTTAACTAGGATATACCTGTATGTATATAGTCATTGTATAATTAGAAGAGCATGTGTGACTCGTAATGTAGATTCAGTAAAATATAGTCAACACCACCAGTCTGACCCTCTTGTTTGCTCTAAGATGCAAACCACACTTGCAGGTGTTTGGAAAGCCCCAGTGTCTCAGGCTGGATTTCATTTTCTTGGGACTAGGAGAGCATTTTGAGAGAGATCTATGGGCTGAAAATATACTGAAAGTCCCTGAATCTATAAATGATATTGTCCCTTTTCAGCCTCTTTATTACAACTAGAACAGATTCAATTCAGGATATTTTACCTAGAATGCCAGAAAACCATTAATATCAGGGAGGGCAGAAACTAGACCTGTTTAACATCGCAGGGCCTGACTGTTTGTTACTGTAGCTGTAGGCTGGTTTATTGTGATAACTGACACAGCAATTTTTGTCCAAAAAGAAGACAAAATCCTGTATAACGTGGAACTGAAGTCATTCTCCAAGGCTGCGCTTCCTAATGAAGGCAGGTCCCTCCAAGTCTGTCCCATGGGTGTACAGGGCAGGGAAGCCAGGTCCTAGAGGGCATCATGCATAACTTGTTTTCTCTTTCTAAATGGAAGAAAAAGGTTATTTCCCAGCAATCAGTAAAAGCAAGGTGTCCCACTATCACTGTAACATTTGTGGACTAAAGGTGCATCGTCTCTGTGGTTAAACCTGGTCTGAAGGAGAACATTTCTCTCTGGATACATGAAAAGCAAGAAAATAGTTTCTACTCTGGGAGACATCCAGCTTGTTGGTTTTGGAGAGGGACATTAGGAGAGAGGCATGTTATTCACTATACAGCATTAAACCCTATGTATGCACTGCTTCTTCTCTCTTTGGTATCCCAGGATTTCTAAGATCTTCTGCATTTCTGTCCTAGCACCGTGATAGGAAATCCTAAAAGCTACTCTGATTCCCAGAGAAGCCTTGTGCCTATGCTCCTTGGTTGAGCTGTGCACTTTTCTCTCTCCTTGTTGTCCTGGTCAGACCACCTTCTCACAGGAGATTGGCTTGTTAAGGCCAGAAGCTCCTCTTCCAGGCTGTCTTCTGGGGCCTGCAGCTTCCTCCTAAAGAGACAAATGCAACAGTCAAAACTTAGAGGACAGGAATGAGCCGATTCTCCCCCTTCCTCATCCAATTCATCATCCTTCCCATCCTTTCCCCTGCTCTCATCTATTTTCACTTTCCTTTCTCCTACTTGTGTCTGTTTTTCCCTAATTTTTGCCATCACCTGAGGTCACCTTGTGAAAAATACACTGCTCATTTCGCTACTAAAGAGCTATTCCTTTGCATGCACCAAGTCAATGGCTAAACAGGTACATGGCAGGCCGGTCCATTTCGAATCCCATTTTTAGACAGCCTTGCCAGAGGGCTGGAAGGGAGGCTCTGCTTTCTGCTCTCCCCAGATGCCGCAATGCCATTGCCATGGCTTTTCTAGGAGAAAAGCAAGGAAAATCCAACTACTGGTAAAGCAAAGGAAAGAAGTGACATTGGGGAAAAAAAGGTAACTGGAAAGTACCTGGGATATAGCATGGCTCTAAACTTGCTCGGTGACACCTTAAACTGCTGAGACAAAGAGTGAACTGCAGAGCAGCCAATGAGCTTTTAAAACATAATATGGGCCTTCCAATGGCTGCTGATACCTGTAAAGTTGAGTGCAAAGTGTAACAGCCAAGGACTACTCAAAGTTTGAGAAAAGCCCTATAAACACTGCCCTTGAGATACTAAACCAATGTCCTCCTGAAAGATGTGTCCTAACACAGCTGGTGCATCTCCAATGCCACAGAGAGGTTTCTGAGAGAAATTCCTTAAATATTGTTCGCAAGCCAGCTATGTGGTGAAGGTAGATCTGAATGTGATGATAATAATAGCAAAAATCCAAACTAGCTTGCAAACCTGCAGTAAAGCCCAGAAGGGAGTAATTTTAAAAGCAGCAGAGAAATTGGCTTCTGCCACTGCTAGCTGTTCCTCTAAATTAATAAGCATTTCAAAAAGCAAACAGCAACAGAGCACTGATCCTTGTACAAAACATCTCTGTGCAACCTTCATAACTGTGCTTCTAGACAATCCCATGCCCACTTGTGGGATTTTAGGAACTCAGCAAGACCAAGCAGTTTATTCAGATTGCTTCCCCAGGCACAAACAGGACGGCCAAGAGAGGTAGTCATGCCATTACAAATCTCCTGAAGATAACTGAAAACAGAAAGCCAAAGTGGCAGAAAACCTCCATCTCCAGCTTTGCTGGCTCTCAGACATGCCACTCTTGAAAGTGAGCTTCTGCAGGATCTGGCAGAGAGCAGATGAACAAGGTCAACAAAATCTTGGCTACTCTTGTGTGTGGTGTAGAGGCAAAAGAGAAAACAACCCCAATGCCCCCATTAAAGTGCCCTCATTTCACTGCTTGATAGGCTCAACTATGGACCGAGAGGTTCTCAAAACCACATCAGATTGTCTCCAACAGAAATAGTCTTCCCAAGTGTCTTCAGGCTGTTAGGACAACCCCATCCCTTCTCACCAGTCTACACATCTTCCCTTCCCCACATTCACCTTCTTCCAGGGATTATGTTGCCCTCTCAGGCCTCCTCTTCCACAAGCAAGCCAACTCTATCAAGTGCTTGATGGATTTCAGCTCGAAAACGTGCCATGCTGACAGGGCATCGCTATTTCCCCTCCTTGCCCACAATATTTCACCTGATGTCCCTCAAAGCTCACTTGGCTTCCTCTGAATATGCACCAAGTTTTTTGTGTCAGCTGCTGTCTGCGAAAAATGCCTCTAAGCTTTTTACTTCAAATGAATAGAATGACCTTGGAAAGATGTAAAAGATGATAAACATCCTCAGGAAGCCTGTAAATCTAGAGATTCAGAAAAAAATCCTTTGATATTCTGCAGTGCCTGCAACTCACCTACTTTCCTGACAGATGCTACTATCAGAGGGAACAGGAGCTACCCAAAAAGGAATGCAAATTTCAGCTCATTTTGGAAGGTTGTGGGTAAAAGTTCAGAGGGAATCATGGATATTATGGTAAATCCCATGGAGAAACATATGCATGTGCAACTGTAAGTCCCAAACCCTATCAGCTCTCAGTTTCTTGTTCATCTTTGAAAAAAAAAAATGAAGCACTCTGTGGTAAACTCCTAGACAAAATTCAGTCCTTTGATATGTTCCAGCTGCATTTCCAGTGGATGTTGTTTGGGATAGGACTGCCAGAGCAGTGGTCAAATTGGCCCTAAAGACCAGATTTTTCCACTGATACATAAAGACTTCAAACTGCATCTCTTACATTATGAAGTGAACCAACAGATACACAGCAAAACCAACACGAGGAATGCATACATATGAAGTAAAAGCTAAAGGTGAAAGATCAGATAAATAATCAACACAAGGAGCTAGGGAACAGATTCCAAAGTCTGTTCTGTATAGCCAGAATTTCGCCTTCCACAGTGAATGTTCTCATTAATGTCCGTTGAAGTAACTGAACCATTGCAGTTTGATCACTAGTTGACTAATAAAGACATTTTTACAGTGTTGTACAAGATGCAAATCAAATCCAACGGAGCATGCAACCACGAGCCTAAAAATAGCAAAGTGAAAAGAGCATTTTTAGAAGTGGAAACGTGCAGGCCAGATAGGAAGACACACACAAACTGAGTTACACATATGCAGGAAGAAAAGTATGAAATAATTTGAATACAAGCAATAAAAATGCAAATTGCCCCCTCCAGATCCCAGGCAGGGAATGTAATTGCCTAAATAAAGACATAATGTGAGCAACAAGAGAGCAGTGCATGTTGCAGAGAAGTCAAGCATTTCACTGCGTTCGGAGAAGACTGCAGAGGTGATGGAGACAGTGGTGCAGCCAGCCAACAGACTGGTGCTACAGTCTAGCTGCAAGATAAAAATCACAACCCACAATTTCAGTACAGTCAGATTCTCCTGAATTTTTCACAGAGGAAATTTTTTGACTGAGAGCTGACGTAGCACATTGGGCAGGCTGAGACCCGCGTGTAGGGCGTTTGCACGCAGAGGCTAAGCCTCCAAGTGCGTTCAGATAGCTTCACGACACCAGGCGCTGTGCAAACATCGACTGAGCAACAGGCTGCGATCGAAGACCTCATGACAGCTTAAATAAGCAAGGGAGACACACGTTCAACTTGCAGTGCAAGGGCCATTGGAAAGCCAAGGCCGTAAGCCCGGGGGCTGTCTTGAGCTTACTCAGACAGACCTACGCGGGATGCACAGAAGGCTCAGGCTCAACAAGAGCTACTGCACCAACAGTTAATCGTGCCCAAGAGGGGGCTTCACTTGGTCCCTGCCTTACGATGGTGTTATCCAGCCTGTCTGAATATCTATTATCTGCAAGAGTCAGCCTATGTTATTTATGCAGGCAAACTTTGGCAACTGATAAACGAATCAAAGCAAATAATTATCTTTTCAGCGAATATATCTAGTTCATGCTTGGAGAGCATAGGCTTGTAGAGATTTTTGTGTCTCTGTGTCCATAGAGAAGAGGAATGGGCAGTGATTCCCGCAGAAGGCATTTCCGAGGCACCAGTTACTCCAAGATCAATGTAGACTCACAGCCTAGATTTGGACTCCATCTCTCTGTAATAATATTTTTTCCCTGCATATGTTCCATGTCCAGCTCAATGCCATGGTTTCCTAGTACTTTCTTTCTGTATTAAAAATTATAATACATCTGTCTGTATGGAATTTTATTTCTTTATATAGCGAAATATGATTTCCTTGCTTTTAAAAAGCTCTACCAAGGGACCGCCAGTAGTCAGCTTGAGAGACACTAGCTGGATACATAGCAGAAAGATTTATATGCTCATACATATAACTGCGAATATACAACCTCCTCTTTCAATACATGGCTAAAAAGTAGCATGAGAAGACTGAGGTGCTCCAAACAGTATCTACTTTGGGGAATACTGAGCTGTTTTTCTGGTAATCACTAATAGGTAGGATGAGTGCTCTGCACTGACCGCTTCTTCCTCTGGCTGCTGCTATCTTCTTGAAAATGAGATACCTTGCTAGTGTTGAAAGGAGCATTAAGAGAAAAAAAAAAATTGAAGAAGGAACTAGCATTTGCGTGTGATAAAAGATGACTGCAGGAGATGGATTTGTACATAGATCTGATTAAATAATCTGAGGCTGTGCCTATGGATAGCTGGATCCATAGCTCCAAACATGCCTGAGCTTGGCTGGGATGCTTAATATGGGTATTATTATGAATTTCTGTCCACTTTCTACTGCTATTGATGGACAAAAGCAAACTCAGGAGCTTGAGCCTGATTCAGAGGTGGATAAGCATCTATATCACAGTTACCCATCTCAACCCTCTGCTGATAACAAGAAGCCGAATATCATTGGGAAAAAGGGGGGTTGGGCAAGCACCTAACATGACCATTCTCTGTTCCAGAGTGGGGGGAGGGGGGGAATGGACACAGATTTATCTATTATGCAAGGAGAGAAAGATAAACTTAAGCTTTAAATGTTCTTATGATGGGAATTTATGTCAAGGAATAAGGTCAGAAAATATTTTGGGAAATAGTTATGCCTGTGATTTAAAAGAACGGATAGAGCTGAAATTGGTTACCCAAACACAGGCGCCTAGCACCTTTTGGGATACCTCCAAAGACAAACTATGGATGTTGCTGAAGAGGAAGGTGTAGGAAAGGCTTCGCTGGGGCAACAGCCACAAGCTGCTGGATAGAGCCCAAAGTGACATATGGCACTGTGCAGCGGGGCAAGGAGGCAACCCCAGCGCTGGCATGCTTGCCAGCCGGGCTGCAAGACAATGGCTTTTCTCTATCAGAAAATAACCTGTAATTTTCCTTAACCCAAGAGAGAAAAACTCATCCTGACCAATGACTGCAAAGAGTCCCAGTTGTGCCCAAACTCCTTTTAAGTGCCTTTCCACCCTGCTACCGCCTGTATGAGCGCCTGGAGAGGAGCTGTCTCCCAGCTCCAGAACCGGAGCCATTAATAGCATTGCCCACTGCCCTGTGCTTCGTCAGAAAGATAAGTTGCCTCATTTCCCAACCTCTTGGTCTAAAACTAAGCTCTGCAACTCTATTTTACTGGTAGTTCAGAGCAAAAGCCCAGTTCAGATCACTACTACAGGCTAATCTCTAATGCTGTTCAGCGGTGGATTAGCTTCACTGGCTCTCTAGCTCTGATCCTCTCGCCACCGGAAAACTTTCATCACTGGGTTAGTAGAAAAATAAAAGGCAGTGAAATTCTGTGAGTACTAAACACCCACTGAGTGGGCTTCCTTAAAGCTGTTTGTTAGGATGCACATTGCAAGCATTTCATACAACTGCTTTGAATTTGGTTCTCCCAATCTAAAATCCTGTTCAATAGACCGGATAATGGGCATCTTTGCTATTTCATTTTTTTCAGTTGCTGCAGGAGCTTGTTTGCTGAAAGATCGAAACTGTTCAGTCAGGATGGATATAACATCTGGTTCGCAGCAGCAAAAAAACACCTCATTTGCTATTTTTGTTACTCTGCAATACTGAACCTCAGAAAAACTTCCAAAGCTGGTATTTCTAAGGTGCAAAGCAGGGAGGAGAGGAGCAAGCCCTACCTTGGGGAGGCTGCCACCGCACCAGGCACCATCAGTGTGTGATTGGCGCTCAGGGTTGGCACCAGCAAGCACCCGTCTTCACTCTCGAGAGCATCATCTGGGTTGTCCACGTCCTTGATGCTAACGGTTGGGTATTGACTTGGCCCTTAGAGAGGAACATTGCAAAATGAATCACAGAGGGACAAAGGTGTTTTCAGGTTATTTCTAGCCATGCCTTTCCCTCAAAGTGAGCACTGACATGTTGCTCTTAATTCATACTTAAGATTATGTATGTGAGCTATATTGCTCAGATAAGTCACTCAAACAGTCCCAACTAAGAGCTGTTTTTCAGCAACGTGAAGCAATGGGTCCAGCGTGCAGTTGGTAAAATCCCCCAAACCCCATCACCCTCCAGCAAAGCTCTGCTGCTCCTTGCTCCCTTAAAAACTCTCGGTGTGCTAAAGACTCTCCTTTCACTTCATTTCCCTGCTCTGTGGCATTCCTTTCTGCTAACATTTTGGCGTGCTTGATTTTTTTCCCCTCGATTTTTTTAACAAAGTAAGAAAACCTGCTGGTTGCTCCCCTTCTGCTTTCGCACCTTGCAGTGATTTAAACGTCTCAGTGTCATCACTCAGCCTCCAATATGGAAAACTATGAAGAAAATTCCTAGAATTACCAGCTGCAAAAGCTGCCTCCTGGGCTATAGAAAATGTCCTGGCTCTTCTGAATATGAACTTATTTATCCAAAATTCCCTCCATGCAGGGCTCCCTGCCAAGCAGTCCCTCAGGGCTGTTGCAGTCTTGTTATGCTGCTACATCTTTATGCTCTGTGCAGGTGATTCAGGCTCCAAATTACAGGATCATTTGGTTTTCATGCAAAATAAGGCATTATTCAAATAAGCGCTTAAGGCCTCTCTGTCTGGAGTAGGTAAGAACTGCTTCTTGCAGTAAGCGAGAGCAGAAGCGGCCAGATAAACAGAGATGTCACATGCCCGATGGAGAAACAACCTGCCGCAGGGGGTTAGTCCGGTTAGATGCCTGCAGCTGGCTTGGCTGCAAAAAAAATCATCCTTTTTCTTAGCTATATCACCAGATGCAAGGAGTCCTTGCAGCTTTTCTCTGAAGGGGGAATTTCAGCCATCTAAAAGACCCCGGGCAGCTCCTCTTTTCTGCGCACCACTTTGTGCTGCCATGAAGGGCTGCACAGCAGCAGCAAGGGGGTATTGCAAAGAGCAAAGCTCCAGCTTACCACCTTCTTTGACTGAGTTGCATGAACGATATGGAGAAAACACACGTGCCGTGGCTATTTAACCCTCCGCCTGTGGGTCTTTTGGGGGAATTTTAAACAACGGTGGTGAACATTTATGGCTTGAAAACATTCTTTAGGGATTGAATTGGAAGGAGATGTAATTATGAGGCAGAAGCAAAAACCGTGTTAGATGACCATCAGTTTTGTTCCTTGGCTTCTGTGATGCAATGTGAAGCATGCTTTTATTACAAAAAAAAAAGCAACAAAGACCAACTACTCCAGGACTAAAAGCTGTTCCCCCCCAAGCTACGCAAGCACATGGCCAAAGCCAACTTCGCTGCTACCTAGGGGGTGGGCAGGACACTGCTCCTCATTGGAAAAACTGGGGTTGACAACTCCAGCCTTTTGCTTTCTGGAGATGAGGACGGGGATGCGGGAGGCAGTGGCGGCTCGGTAGCTGGGGACATTGGGTAGGTGCTCTATGGTGCCGCGGCAGGGAGGGGATGGCCATGCTGCTAGGCGCCTAGGTGCTTCAAGCAATGGACAAGGCATCGGAAGCTGCAATAAGAAACAGAGTTGTTTGAGATGGGACAGTTATTCTGGGCGCGCAGAGAAATGTGGGGCTGTGAAGCAAGCGCCGGGACACTTGCAGAGCTGCGGCGGCGGTGCTAAACTGCAATGCTCGGCCAAGGCTGTGGGAACATGCTGCTGGCAGTGAAAAGCAACAAAACCTCCAACCCGGAATGCCAGGAATTAGCATCGCTCTCTCAGGCTGCGATAGCAGCTCCACAGCTAATTTTCATTAACCATCCATTACCTCCTAAAACATGACATTAGCATGCACTTTATGTGACAGATTATTTCCCAAAGTGAACAAAGCAGCAATGAAAATCCTTTTCCCCACCCTGCGTTTCTCCTTCGCTTGAAGGAGAAGCTCCTATTTCACATCAGGGTTGGTTTAATCAACAAGACTAATGACCGGTAAGGACCAGCCCTTCATATCTGGCTCCAGCTGACAGTAATATTGCCAGTGTACCCTTTCCACAGGATGATTTTGGCTAGTGAAAAACCCAAACTGAGCAAGCAGGCCCGTGCCACAGACAAGCCACAGACAAGGGGTTCAATTCCATGCAGTGAGTGGTCAGAAGGGCACGGCTCCGTCTTTGCCCTCACCGGGCACCTCATTCACTGCAATTCAACATCAGCCCATGTTGTGTATTATACCTTCAACCTCGGCTTCAGCGTCTTCAGCGATCTTCTCTTCCACCTTCAAAACCCAAAGAGACATTTTAAGAAGAAAAATATCTATGCCGTCAGTTAAAAAAAAAAAAAACAGACTTAGCATTTCTGTACAGGTTTAGGGTGTCCCCAGCACCCCCTGGGTCATATACCAGCTGCAAGCTTCTCCTCCGAAGCTGCCCTTTGGTTCAAACACTTCTGAGCAAAAACTAACCTCAGTTACCCACAGCTAGTCAAAAAAAACATTACTTTATATTCCAGGCTGCTTTGGGGATACAGCTGTAGCCTGATGCAAGCAAGACCAAGCAGTGTGCCCCAAAACATCCCCACCAAGCCATCTTCACCCCTTGCTTTTCGCTGCACCCCACTGCCATAGCTGGCGACAGAGTCCCCCGCGTTGCAGAGCCCGCAGCTTTTTTCTGGCAATTCATTATTTCAAGCTCCTCTACGCCCTCACAGTCTGGCTCTTAACTTAAACGTTGTAGGGCTCCTTTTAATAGTGACAAGCTGTCAAAACCCAGGGGACTTCAACAGCATCCAACATTTCCCGCGGGGAACGGCTCAGCACCGTCGCTGTTTCTGGGTCTGCCGGTGGCAAGTACTTATAATTCTGCGCTCGCTGAAAGAGCCAGCCCTGAACTCCCATCTGGCGGTACGCTCTGCCAAAGGGCCGGAGCGCTGCATGGGGCCGTCTCGGCGAAGGGGCGGGAAGGCTCGGCCAGGGGCTCCTGCGATTTCCCACACTCCGAAAAGGGAGAGGCTGCAGGCGGCAGGGAGCAGAGCAACCGCAGAGCGCTTCCCCGCTGGGGCGGCAGCTGCCGAGCCTCGGGCATCCCCCCGATTTTCCCCCAGTGGGGGGGACACACTGCCAGCGCCTGCTTGCAGGTACCCGCTGCGTGTGCCTGGCGGCAGCGAGCTTATTGCAACCCTAAATCTACAGCCATACCTGTATAAAAGTGCCTTCGAGGTCGCTTAGCTCAGTTCCTTCAAGGTCTGCAAAATCAGGGGGATCTTCTGCAAAGAAACTGTCATCTGCACCGTCATCAGCAATAGGGCAAGGAGGCTGGAGCAGGGGGCTGCATGACACAGAGTAAGCAGCAACGTGAGGCCGAGCTTGCTTTTGGCCCCCTCTGAGGCCACGCGGGTTACGGACAAGAGCCTCGCGTCCACGCGACCGGTGCGCAGGTCTCCAGACGTCAGGCCGGAGGGCACGGCTCAGCCGGCTGCTTTGCAGACCCGGGTTGCAGAGGAATAATAATGCACGAAGGCAGAAATCCTATCTTAATACATTAATTGCACAGAAAAGCCCACCACTTAGATTAGAAGGGACGTAGCTGTAACTTTGGAAAAAACACTAGATGAATAGTATGGAAAATAATAAATAGTATGGAAAAATACGTGGGAGATGAGGTATATAAACTATAGAGAGCATTTTCTGGGGCATACATTTCTCTTGCTGTACAAAATAATTTCTCGTACAGTTAAAATTTGCCAAAGAACAACCCAAGGGCCCAATTTCCACGCAGGAGTACCCGCAAACATCATCCAAAATCCCACATTTGCCTATATAAGGTGTCACTAGGACACACAATTCTCATTTTCCTTTCCTAACTGCCAGTTTCAGCCCCCAGAGCAGGCTCCAGTTCCACTGTGTTGACAAATGGGGCTCATAAGATTATTTTTATTGGTTAAATATAACTTTATAATTGGGAAAAAAAAGTGCTCATGCTGTTCTGTGCAATTATCTGCTGATTTGCTGTTTTTCTGGAGATGGAAGCAAAGGAACAACAGGGGATAATGAAAAAAATTAGGAGATAGCTAAATCTATGAAAACTGGAAAAACCTTTCTGCATTTGCAGCACGTCCTAAGCGGCAAGATTCATATAACAAACAGCGGCTGACTTTTTTTAAGCTCCATCTTTTGAAAAACTGTCACTTCATGCATTCAGGGTTTGTTCCCCTCCCCCCAATTTTGTACATTTAACCCCCCTGCAAAATGCAGTCGCAAACCTTTTCATCCTCATTTAGAAAACCTGTCGGCTTCTCTCCTTTCCTATAAACATACAGACACGCTGAGGAAGTTACCTGAAGTTACCACCTATAACAGCTGACGATAACAGCTATTTTTTACAGCAGGAAAGGCGTAAAAACGTACCTACGTGTATTACGGGGCGTTTGCAGGTACAGCGCATAATCCCGTCTTTAAATCCAGCTCCATAACATTCGCAATAATCCCCACTGCACTGAATGAACATTTAAGGTCTTAAATAACCTGGACCCACTTCCAGACCGCGATGCTCTTGCCCTGTTTCTGCCGCCTCCGGATGAAGCTGCCAAGTCATTTTC